CTTATAGGGCATATGGATGCATGTAATTTGTAATATTTTTGAAAAGGTAAGATTTTCTGCTGCAGTCAGTGTGAAATGTTGCCTTTTATATCTCAGAAATAATGTCTTTTCCAGAAGCAATTTGGAATCACCCTAATTTTACTGTAGGCTGCAGACAGCTCCTGGTTTTACTCTACACTCCATAACTACCCGTCATGTGCTTTATTTCTCCCCTCAAGCTTAGGTTTGTGTTACGAAGAGGTACTGATAGGAAACAGAGGTCTGATTCTTATCTACCCAGAACACAGTGTCTATGGTGTAAACCCCACAGGAGGAGGAAGAGCCGCCACCACTGAGATTAAATGATGTTACTAGAGCTCCAATTAGCACGTAAAGCTGGTCTTTCAGCAGTGGTAAACCAGAGCAAGAGCCTTCCATTTCCTAAAAAGAGTTTGTCTTTCATTTTAGGTAAAAGCGGTTGGAGAGGTAGAGAAGTGTCAAGGGTTTTTTAAATTGCAATGGTATTAATATTTTCTCAATATGTAAAAATGACAAGAGATTATAATCTTTTACATTCTGAGCTTGTGCATTTTTATTCCTCCTCAGCCCACCTGCAGAAATGTTGCTTCCTCAATGCGTTCTGATGTAGAGTCATAAACTAAGAAAAAAGATGTTCTCTCCCCTCTCGTGTGCGTGCTCAGGTGACCGAGGCTGCAACCTGCCAAATATTTTCTTCGTTGGTGGCATTGACCTGCGTAGTAAACTCTATGGGCAGTTGCACGAGCAGCCTTGGAAAAGCTTTTGAAATGTGACTGAAATGTGAGGCTACTAATTAGCTGCCTCTCTCTTTTTTATTTTCTTTTTTTCCCTCCTTCCTCCCGATGTTTTCTTTTGATTCAGTTTGACTCCAAGGAGTCTGTATTCTCTAGGTATGTTTTTGTGTGTTGTCTAAAATCCCTAATGATATGTTTAACTGGCCTGTTTTTGTTGAAAGAGTTTCCCTCTGTTTACATACATTTTCCTGGTAAATGCATACATCAGGATTGTGCTCATAAGGGTAGTTTGCAGAGGTTTAAGTAATTACCAGGGTACATGTGTATGTGCCTCATTTCACAGCGCAAATGAGAATGTGCCTCATAGTCCAAAGCCTCAAAATCATAGCGAGTGTTTAGTACTTTAATATTTATTCACCACACATATTTATTCACAATTAAACAATTTTCCAAAGGCAGTTAAGTAACAGCAGAAGTTAATGTATTAAGCCCCACTTGGCAGGGAAGCCGGTGACAAGGAAGCAGTGAAATGCACTAATAGATTATATGCTATAGCAATATATTGCCTTTTTATTGCTTTTCCACAGGCAGCAGATTCATGTATAGTTATTACTAGCTACATTATCTGCTAGTTTTCTATCAAAAAAGATTCACTCTATTGAATCATTAATCCAATATTTATCATTCTTATTGAAAATCCACTAGTGTTAGCACTGTATAAAATATTGACTTAAATCTACCGGTTTTGCTAAAGATTAAAAACATATTAACCTAAAAAGAACAGTATTTCTTAGGACATTTGAAACTATTCATTGTGGATGTTTAAAATGACAATATTTCTATGTTGTATGAGGAATGATTTTTTTTTAAATCTTTACCATATAGTAAGTGACCAATGCCATCCTAATTTGAAGATGCTGAATGTTCATACAACTCACATTTGAAATTTTGATGTGTATTGCATTAGTTACTGAATATCAAGAATAAAATTTTTGCTCATACATAGAGTGTAAAATGGGATCTTTTGTAGCAGCACACGGCCTGTTTAGAATGATATAACAGGCGCTGAATGTTCACATATCAAACAAAATGCCATCTTTCTGTAGAAAAGAGGTGTCAAAAAGTTTCTTTGTACCTTTAACGCATGTGATTATGTAGTACAAAATGCAGAGTTTGTAAAATTTCTTGAATATACAGGCAAAAAATGAATAATTCAAAACAACTCATAAGTTCTACATTCTATTGTATCTTTTATAACGCAGGCAGAAGATAGCATTGTGTTCCCAGTAGAGCTGAATTTGCACAAGTTACACCTCTGAAAATGCCAGATGGTCTATGGTCTACTTTTGAGAGCTGTCACATATGTAAAGATTTGAAAAAAGAAAGACAGCTGAATGAGAGCAGTGGATCATTAAAGAGAGAGTGAGAGTCCCTGGGTATCACAGTGTTTTAAGAAGCATTGTGTCGTTCCCCATATTACACCTTTTTTCTTTTTTTTTTTTTAAGATATACACAACCTTTAAAAAATAAGGTAAAAATATTTCTGTTTTAAACTGAGCAGTTGTGGCTTAATCTTGGAACTGTCAATTGCTTTTGTTCTTTATGCTAGAATGCGGTCATATGGTTCCTAATTGGTTTCAAGTGTGTTTTAACCATAAGATTCAAGTCTCCCTAGTGCAAAATTATCAATAAAGTTAAAATAAATTTAAATTGAGATAACTAATACATTTGGGGTTTTATTCCATTTTGATTTGACCTGTGCATCACATGTGAATACTCTAAAGCCAGTCAGCTAAAAAGTTGTATGTTAATGCTAAAAGACTGAAGTAAGAGTACTTTGGGAGCAGGATTATTAAAAAAAGAGAGAGAACCTTAGTAAAAATAATTATAGAAGTTAAAACAAATAACTGCTTGCTTACATTCCTCAGGATTTAACCATTTATCTACAAATTAAACAAACATATTTTTGAAGATTGAAGATTAGGTAATTTGTCATGTTATTGTMTTGCAATAAAGCACAAAACATACACAAACAATTGCAAGCTGCCACCACCAATTTAGCTGGCTTGAAAAAGGTCATACCTGTCAGTTTTAGAAACAGTGTGTCTAGATGTACAGAATTTTTAGCATAGTCTATTAATTTTAGTTATTGAGGAAGGTTAACCCCTCCCAGGTAATTCTAGGTTTTTGGTGGAACTGGAGCTCCACAATTGGCAATCTTACATGGTATCATGTGAGGAAAGTGTCCGCATGTGGAGCATGAAAAACATTACTTCAGAATACAGGATAAAGAAAATAAAGCCYGGGAGTAGGGGGCTACGGATATGAACACTGGATTTTAGGGAGTACAATTTTTGATTCCTGGTGTTGAAAAACCTAATTCCAAAGTCAAATAAATACCTTTRCCTATGCTTCTCCTCATATGTTTGGCAAGCCCTAATACAAGATTGAAAGGAGCAGCAACTGCAGAGCAACAGGATTGCCATCCAAAACTTTATGAGCAGCAGTTAGATTATCAAGTATCAGGATAGTTTTATGCTCTTGCTGTGTTGGCCTGGAAATTCATGATTAGATACTGCTGGAGGGGGAAAGGAATCGTATTTGTCTTTCCTGTAAAGTTGTTAAGGAGGTCAATAGTAGACTTGTTTCACCCAGTCCTTTCTTAATGCAATAAGAAATTTTCAGTTTTGTAAAACAGCTACAATTAGGATTATTCTGACCTAGATAAATAYGTTGGCAGTCCAAGTGTCTTCTCAAAATCTTGACCACGGTGACTTAAGAAAATCAAATGGCAAGAAGAAAAAACAATTACTTTTTTTTTTTTTTTTTTTTTTTTTTTCAGTATTTAGACTGTCGGGGGCTCTCTTAAGTGGAAAATCTCTCCGTCTGTGAACAGGACCTGAAGTTAGTTTAAGATTTATCTGAATTTTAATCAGGACAAGATCGTGATGGTTGAAGGAAGCAGTCTGAGGATGGTGTGTGTCAGTGACTTGGAGAAGAGGAGAGAGTGGAGGGTTTGTTAGGCAAATTCTTTTGGAGTCCGTGTTGGTCTGGCTGTCCTGGAAGTATTTGTCCAAATGTTTGGTCGCCTATGTCTGAAGTAATAAGTGTAGTGGTTTCTTTTAAAGGAAAATAATTATCTATGCCTTTGGTTATCTTGGTTCTTGGACATAATGTTGTGATGTACATGGGAAACTATACTGTGAAGTCATCTGAAATCTGATATAAATCATCTGAAAAGGGAATGAGCTGCAGTCCTGCAGCTCCTGGTTTCCCTTTCCCTTTCCTACAGATGCTGTCTCATCTCTCCTCAGCCCAGAGTTCTCTAAAATTTAGGCTTTTTCCCTCACATTAAATATATAAATGGTTAAATTTTCGACTGTGTGAAGACCTCTGTACATCCAAGCGTCATACCATACTATTTTGATTAGTTATCAGGCTGGTATTTTTTGACAAAGAAATCTTAGTCTATTACTATGTGTGTAGTTTAATTAGTTTTAGATGTAAGTCTTCATTTAAAACATGAATCTTAAGTTGGTGAGCAGTCTTTTTACTACAAAGCATTACATGAAAAGCTGTATCTTTTATTTTCTTATGATACCAACTTTAGAAAATGTATTTCCCATGTTGTTAAAAAGCACTCTCCTTCATGATATGGTACCCACTAACGAACGGTCGCATTTTGTGCCATGTCATTAGGATGATTTCACAACAAGCACTCTTGGAGTCCCAGCCAGACCTCTGCAGAGCCCTAGCGTGGCAGTTTTTATGATTTTTACTTGGACTGTTTCAGTTTGTAGTCATTAAAACCCCTTAGTAACCCATTATGGTCATTTTTCAAATTGTGCTTTTGAATTGAGAATGTGATCCAGGGGTTGGGGGATGCCATAGGTATCTTTTTAGTGGTGTTCGAGTCGATGTCCCTGATGCTCACTGGATCCCTGCATCCGCTTCCCGAATACTTTAGCTGTTTTGTTCTGTTTTGGTTTTGTTTCTTTCATAGAAGTCCATGATTCTCGTTGAGTTTAGGGTCAAAATGCTGTGAGCAAAATGCCTCAAGAGCAGCATTCCTGCCTGGCGGCGGGTCCCTCTGTGCTGCTGAGGGCACCTCCGAAGGCCGCAGGCTGGGCAGCCTCTGCCCTTCCCTTCCTCCATTGCCATGTTTCGTTGCCTTCCCAGTCCAGCCCTAATGCGTTCCATTATCAATATGAAATTTAAATTAACCCTTTCTTTCGCTTTCATTTTAAGCACAACCTCAACGTTTGCCTCAGCCAAATACTTCAGCACTGGAAAGGGGTGAGGAAGAAACTGGCAAGATACAAAATGGTCACGCRGGTCTGAGCAATGGCAGTGGCATCCACAGTGGGGCCAAGCACATGCCGGYGGACAGCAGAAAACTTTCAGCTCCCGTTTCAGAAAAAATGCACAGGAAAATCCAGTCCACCTTGTCTGTCAACAGTGACAGCAGCAAGAAGAGCAAAATAAGCTCTGCGTTTTCTCAAAAGCCGGGTACTTCACCTGAAGGTAAGCAAAAATTCTTATTAAAAAAAAAAAAAAGGAAAAAAATGAATAAAGACTAGCCAAGCCCCGTTCTCACTAATAATTACACAATCAACTGAAAATAATTGAAGAGCATGACTCATGCTCCAGAAGCAAATAGAAATCATTATGATAAAACACAAGTTACTTCCCCAAAGGAAAATATTAAGTATTTGAAGGAAATTGAAGCAGTGGGAGATTTCTTGCTTTCAAACATTGGGCCACCATAGTCTGATAATGTTTTAGTATCTCTAGGTTAGTATCCTTAACTCTCAGAAACTCCTGTCAACACCATCATGGATATGCTAGAGATAATGTTAAAGCACTAACTCAAAACATAGTAATTACTTAATTCCACTGATGGTAGTTTAAATGAAGATAGAGTTTGCTTTTGAAAATGTTCTGTTAGCAGATATTCTGACTAGCCATGATATGACCACAAGTTTGGATTTGTGCTTTGAAGGTAAATGTGCTGTGTATTATATTTAGGCTGTAAATAATTGAAATGAAAAACTTCATGGTCCCTATGCACAACTTGAGTAAGCAAAAGTAAATATTTTTCCTTACATTTTAGCTGTATGTGTTTTCCCCGCTTGCAATTACTGTAATGATCCCAGAGTTCCTGAGCTTGTCCACGATCCACTGCTTTCCCATTAGCACTAATTATACTTGAAGGCTTCATAGCTGCCCATATCAACAAGGGTGCAGAAACTCTTCTTTCTGCACCCTTCTTTTTGTAAAATTCTTTACAAATTTTACTGGTTTGACTTTCTTTCAGCATGTGAGTAAGATGCATAGATGAGACTGGTTAAAGAGCTCTGGGGATGCTAGCAAAGATACACTCTAGGGAGAGTGTGCTGGGCAGAGAAATGGGGAGATGCTCAGCCTAGGTGAGAGGAAAGAGTCAGAAGAGAGACTTCTCTGGGCTTGAACTCCATCAGTCAAACCACTGAGTGATAATCTGAGTAATAATATGAGGAGGAGCATCACTYAAACTGTTCCACATCCTACTCCTCCTTGCTGAGGTTTCATATATACCCTCAACAACTTACTGTTGTTTTTCTGTTGTGCATTTAGCTCTCTAGAGTTTCTCAAATTCAGAGTTTGTGCTTTTCCATATCCCTTTATCTCTTTCTGTTATGTGAAATATACTTCATCCTCAATCCTGGTATTTTTCATAGGCTCTTTGTGCAGTATTGAAAAGATGTTAATCAAGAGTTGTTTACATAACTGATATAAACTGCAAGACCCTAAATTCAAGAAATTCAGCCTCTGAAAAARAAATTCTTGAGTTCTAAAGAGACAGTGCATATCTTGTTCATGAGTCATTCCTTTTTTATTTTTTTTAAGTAAAATCTTCCTTTGCCTTCTAAAATTACATTAAAATAAGTTTAATCAGTAGGGATTTTTTTTTTAGTGGTCTTCACAGTGATTGTATCAAATAGTTGAATAACTGAAGAAAAAGACATTGTTATCTTYAGATTTAGCTCTAAATTCTAATCTCAGATTTTAGTATCCAACACATGACTGTGATTATAAGTTGCATGAAATTGCAAATTGCATTTTTTTTAATGTACAGTCAGAAGTGTGGGTATTTTTGAAGACATTATGTAATAGGTAACTACATTACATTTTCAAGCTGCCACAAATATATACTAGCAAAGTACAGATATACAGGGTAATCCTTGCTATCACTTGTAGTCTCTTGACTTGTCTAGCACCTAAGGTTAAATATATTCAACACTGTACAACTAATCTTTTAATATGCTCCTTTTGAACATGGAAACTTAAATATATGTTCTGAATAGCATAGCCCATCCCTGTTAGTGTCTCTTGCTTTTGTGTTGCCAGTCTTCAGGGAAGCACAAATTTTACCGTGTAGCAATTAAAATGTAGGGTACAAGTACTGCCTACAAATTAATATATGTTAAAAAGAAATGTTTTCTTTTTGCAGTTTTATTTTGCTTTACAGTTCTCTCTCAGACTTTTATACTTGGGTTCTTAAATCTGCATGTAGTTGTGAACAAACCTTCTGATAGTTTCTTCAGCTTGTCTGCAGTTCCCTCTATGGGGCTGCATGGGGGAAGTGTAGGCTATTAGAAATATTTATATCAAACTGGTACCTTACACAAAATATCAATATATACTTGATTTGTTCTATTATCACTGAATTGTTAGATAAGGTGCACAAGTAGAGGCCCTAGCATGGTCAGTTGAGTACTGTATACTGTGAATACTGAATAATCAGCTGAAGTTAACTCAGATGTTTTAATTTGCYGTAGTGTACAGTTAATTTCAGTAGAAAGACATGCTAATTTGCATGCTTTCAGATGTTTCAGTTCACTATAATGCAAAAACTTTGTGATTCCTTATGGATAACTTGGAAATTTGTATTATAATACATAACTTTTTTTTTTTTCTTGTCTGCTCTCTCTTCCACCTTGAGTGCTGCTGTATTTCCATTCAGGAGGAGAACTTTTTTTTTTAAATGTGAATTAGAGTCGCCAGAGAAAAGAAATTGAGTTTATTCTCAGAAGTGCTTCTTTCTTGAACTTAAAAGTCTTTGTTTCAGAATAACATAGTTATTTAAGACTATATATTTAAGACTATAAGACACCAGAATAGCTGTGTAAGATGCAGCAATAAGAATATCTAAGAACAAGTAAGACTTGAGAATAGATAGAGGAAAAAAGTTTCAAGGAGAGAGCCATCAATATCAAAGTACGATTGATGACGATGAGAAACTTAGGAATAAAAGTGAGTAAGGAGCCCAGAGAGTTTCTGTAGTAAAGGAAAATATACACAAGAGCTTTAGGATGACAGACCCAATGAAGCAAAGACTGAGGTGAACACAAAGATAAATTGTGTGTGTGCAGTAATTTTCAGAAGTTGTGACACTATACTGAAGACTATATGTTTTTACATCAGTAAAGGGAGATATCTGGTTATCTCTCTTTTAGTTTAGACCTTAGCAAAGAGAAAATGTCTTCCTCGGCTCCTTCCTCCTTCCCCAAAGTTTCAATGTTTATGTTTCTTCTCAAGATGTGAGTATTTTTGCAGCACCACACCTGTTTGTGATGCTTAGTAAGCCCATCTGGTCACTAGTTATTTTGGCTGCTGGTAGTTATTTTGGCCTAGGAAGTAGTATCTATTGACAGAACAGAAAGATCCAAACTGTGCAGAAGGGTATTTAGGCATTCATTTAAAAAGTCAGCAGATGCCGCATGCTGCTTCATGTAGTGCAGATTTCATTATATACACTAGAAAGCTGAAGTCCGATGTTATTTTAACTAGGAGATCACACCTTTTCATGAAGAAGGTCAGAATTGTTGTCATTGTTCTTCAAAGTACTAGTCAGCCCTAGTGCAACTGTAAAAAAACAAAGAGCAAACAAAAAAGAAATGCACAACATTTCCATTTGTACTATAGACTGCACCTTGTGAGCTTTAAGAACATGTGGCAGAACATGTGACTGGATTAGATGGAAGAGTGAGGCAGAGGAAGGAAGCCTGTGGAATGTGGGGGAATGATGGATGCGAGCAAGGCCCATTGCCAGGTTTCGGTCAGTGCTGGTGCTTTTACAGGAGCAGGGCTCGAGCCACCTCCTGGATTGTGTAGCCCGTGCTGCTGACCTGGGAGATGCAGTGCACAAGTTTTACCCAACGGATATTTTTTAAATTCAGACATTTAAAATTCAAAATGTCAAGGTTCGTTTGAATCATCTGTTTTTGTTTAATTTCCATACACACACACACACACACGTATATTTATGCATATATATAATATATATGTGTATATATATGAACTTCATCATCTTGTTCTAGATGTTGAATCYAGGTATAGAAGTGGCAGGAAGCTATTTGGCTCATGCTGTTGACTGTATTTATCTGTTAGAGCATCCAAAGTGATACTGATGTCTTAACTGAAGAGAGAACAAATCCATCAAAAAACCTTTGTGTTGAGCCAAGGCCTTAAGAAGCAATGTATGCATGTATGTATAAAAGAGAGTACTTCTCGTAATAATAATAATAATAATAATAATAACTTAATAACTGACCTCTATTTGAAGTACCATAGTTTTCTTTGGGTTTACATTGCCTGAAAAACAGATTTCAGTCAACTTTTACTTAGCATGGGGTGTATGTTTTTGCATAGGATAGGTAGTGTTGAGCAATGGGAATGAAAGATACAGGTTCTAAGGAAGCCTTATGTATTTTAAATTGGCATTTTTCTTAATATTTCTATAGGTTCCAAACAGGACATAATTATTCTCCTTAAGAGTTTAGCATACAAGAGTATGATGATGAAAGTTTCTTTTTGCTTTACAATGCATCTTGCCTGTTCGGGCACCATTTTAAAATTCTCAATCGAGAGAAACGCAATCCTTTTGAATTTCAAAACCATTAGATATCAACTATCACAGAATCACAGAATATTCAAGGTTGGAAGGGACCTCTAGAGATCATCTAGTCCAACCTTCCTGCTCCCACAGGCACACCTAGAGCATGCGGCACAGGGTGGCATCCAGGCGGGTTTTGAAGACCTCCAGAGAAGGAGACTCTACAACCTCCCTTGGGCAGCCTGTTCCACTGCTCCATCACCCTCACAGGAAAGAAGTTCCTCCTCACCTGGAGATGGAACTGCCTGTGTTTCAGCTTATGCCCATTTCCCCTTGTCCTATCGCTGGCCACCAATGAGAAGAGCAATCTTTTGATTTATAATTTTGTTTCCCCCTGCAGCCGTCTAAACGCCACCCTGTCACCTAGTGGCAGCTGCAGCATACGAGACTTGTTCTTTCAGTCTACCCCGATTCCCCCTGGCGCTCTCCTGGGCGCAGCGGCCATTCCGCAAGGCCYGAGACGGCGACGAGGCCGCACGGCCAGGTCTGCAGCGGCCGCCGCAGCTCCCGCGCTCTTCGCGGGCGTTTTTATGTGCACATTTATTTAACGTGCAGCCGTTCGGCTCCCCTCAGCCCGTGCCCTGCCCGTGGCGAGTGGCGACCGCGGGCCGGCTCCCGCTGTCTGCAGGGAGCTCATGGCGCCTGCTGAGACTCGTGTTCAGGGCAGCGCACGGGCCATGAGGAGGCCCCGCTGCGGACCTCGACTGCCACTTTGATGGCGGTTTTGCCCTTTTTGATGCTCGCTGCGAGACAGCGGAGTGCCTGGAGATTTGTTTGGAGTTGTCTGAACTCTGTGAATATAGTTAGTGAAAAGCGGACCAAGGTCAGCGTTCTCTAAGTGAGCTTATTTACCATTATAGACATGGGAGCCTTTTATTGTGTGTGACCTGCCTGCCTGGCATGAAAGCTTACTGGGTCAGTTTGTGACAGGTTAGTGTCAAGCATTACAAAAGCAGCACAGATCAGCCCGCGTGTGTGTTTTCTGTACRTTTCTCAGTTTAACTTTTGCTGATCTTGTGCAGTTTAAATGGGCACATGATAGTTCTCTTAAAATCTGTGTCGTAAGGAGAGCGGCGCGTTCTTGCAAAAATGAAGGGGAGGTGATAAAAGGAAAGTCGAACTAAGAGAGTTAGATATTTCTGGATTTAAAGGCAATTAGACATGAGAGTAATGCCTGCCTGTAAAAGTATTAGGGATAAAAAATCCTTRCCAGTGGCGTATGTTTCAAAACATTTTCATGCATAAAAACTAAATTCATGTTGTTTTCTTGTTGCATTCTTTTCCCTTAATGAGACTGCTATAACTGGATATATAACAGGCTGTAATGAGCCTGTTATAATTCCTGTTATAACTGGAATTAGATTTAACGTGAAACCCTTTGGGCTTTGAATAACAGTGGATAAACAGTTTTAAGGGATTTTAAGCTACTTCTTGGGTTTTCTGAAGTATTATTTATTACCCATTTAAAGTAGATGTTGTATGTACCTGTTACACTCTGATTCAATTAGCACAGAGTAGCTGGCTGTGAGCATAGATCCAAAAGGCAAATCTTGTATGCATTGGTTGGGTTCCCGTTTGCCTTGGCATTGCATACGAGTTCTCACAAAATTCCCTAACATATCTTTAACTTTTGGGCCAGTTCCAAAGGACTAAGGAGACAGCCTTACTTATACTGGTATTTAAAAATGCTAAACGGGATGACCCTTTTAACTTGAGGGTGGCAAAACTAACTTTCATCTCAGTCAAAACAGAAGGATAATTGGAGATAAGCTTGCATGCCTGAAAGCTTATCTCTTTTTTTTTTTTTTTTTTTTTCCCTTAGATATAAACTGAAATCACAGATGCAATTGATTAAAGAACTAGTGCAGACACACTCTTTTGTTTTATGCGCACAAAATAGTCCTCTGTAAAGTGTAGCTGACAACATTTTCATCTTTGTATTAAAAGTATTGAAAAGCAATGGAAATTTGAGACTTATGGGACAGTGTTGAAGTCTGGAAGTCCCGAGGAAAGGAACTGTGGAGATGAAGGTTCTTCTTTCTTGTTGGTGGGCTTCTGTAATAAGACTTGGGATGATTTCTTCTTTTTATGTGAAAATACCCAAGTGAAAATTTAAACCTCAAAAAGCTTGGACAACAGACATTTATCCATGGTAATTCATCATGAATATCAAGGCYAAACAGTTTTGTTCTTGAGCAGCAGCTCAAGAACAGCTACAAAWAGATGCTTTTAAGTTGGCTTCTGTTTAATGTAACTAATATCATTTCACCAGCAAAACAAAATACTAGAATATCCTTAGTTTCAAAAAAACTGTCTCAGCAATAAAGATCACTGAATATTCTTTATTTTTATTCATATCTATTTCAAAAATATTAATTAAATTTTGTTCCAGTTGGATTAATGTGTTCCACTACAGGCTCATCTGCAAAGTCTATTAGGATCTTAATGCAGCAAGGTTAAAGAGTAGAAGTAACTCCACTGAAAACTGTATKGGCAGTTTTTGAAGTATAGTCCTTATTGTTAACATGTTAGAATTGTTTTTAGAAGTAAATTGATCTGTAATTTAARATAGTCTCTTTGGTCCTGGAACTGGTCTAGTATTAAGAGGAAGCAGAATATATTTTAGCAGTCTCCAATATAGTACTGAAGAAAGAACTACCTTGTCTTGTTTGGAGTCAGTTTTACATAGCAAATTCTTCATGGCTGKATTTCACTGAACAGGAGAGCCCAAAACAGCAACCAAGGGAAGTAGTTTTTTTAGGTATGAATATTGGTACCAGATAAGGATATGTGAGTTTTCTTTAGCATGTTGATATGTTTAGATGTGTTTAGCACGTTGCCTTAAGTTTTCTTACTGCCATTGCAGGAACCACTGTTGCTATATCTTCTACTTTTCCTTRTAAATTTATCTACAGAAAAGAAGCTAGTAAGTGTAATGTGTGGAAGAAATGGTTCTGGTACCCTTTTATTTTGTCCAGTATGTATTATGAATATTCAGACTCATAATTCTGAATTCAGTGGGTTAGGTGGGGTTAGATAACAGCATGCTCTCTGTCCATTGAATAATTTCTGTCAGGCTAACTATTAAAAGCCATTAAAATGAAAAAAAAAAAAAAAAAAACAAGAAACAAAAACAAAAGCATGATTATTTCAGATATGCCCTTGAACTGTTGGTTAGACCTTTTGTTCATTTTATGAATGAGTCACTGAGAGAATGAAGAGAGCAGAAAATGGTATCTCAACTTCACATAAAGTGTTTATGTATGTTAAGTAAAATCATGGGAAAAATGTTACGTAAAGATTTTGTAAGTGGAAAATGTATTTTGCAATTCAGACAGAAACAAATCATAATATAGATAAATAAACCCTTTCCTTATTTCAGTCAGTGAAAGAGATGGAAAGAAAGAGCCTCCAAGTGTCTACTAGTGTAAAGACTTGTAGGTTTAAGGGAAAAGTTTTTTGTGGGACCAGAAAGTGTTTTTTAGTGCAGTCTATTGATTAACTTACAAGCTCTGTCCCTTACTCATCAAAATGCCCCCAAATATGTAATTTTTACATATTCCTGCATGGGTCCAGCAAGATTTTCTTATTTTTACTGCTCACATTTTTTTTTCTGATGTTTTGATTAAGAAGACATTCATAGGACAGAATTTGTTTACATTTTTAAATTTTATTATTTGGGTTTTTTTCAGCAACTTCTTTCAAGAAAGAAAAATAATAAAAGTAAATCAGTTTCTGAAATCTGAAGGCTTCTTAGATACAACTCTTAGCTTCTTTGTCTTTTTCCTTCATATTAAAAGAAAATCTGAAAGGAGGTTGTACCTGCGCAAATTTAACACCATCTCCATGACAACCAGCTAATTAATTGCTCTTGGTCTGGCTTTGGTCCTCTACAGTGATCTGATACTGCCTTGCTTTATTTCACCCTTCTTCTGGGCTTTCACTGAAGGTCATTTGTGCAGCCACAGCACTTGTTCAGAAAAAGCCGCCTTTTAACACAGGCTACTACTTTCTTTAAAACAGCTCCATCTTTCCTGCATTTTCCTCTCTCAGTCTTGTTTCCTGTGGAATGACACAGAGTTTCTGAGGGTTATTTCTTCCTAGTTTTCCTGTTGTTGTTTCCTTTTCCTTTTTTTTTTTTTTTTTTTTTTTTTTTTTTTTTTTTTTTTTTTTTTTTTTTTTGACATGTTTTCGATATGTACGTGATGACTGTGAGCACATTGCAGTACAGATATTCCCAATCTGTGTCTGACTTTAGCACAGAGGAATCAATCTGCAGGATTATGGAGCATCGTGTGGGCTAAGGGYTTACCTAGTTACTTTGCTTCCTGGGACAGATTTTGCAGGCAGTGTTGAACTGTCCCCTTCTGTCATGGCACTGCTGTGAGTATCCATATCAAGTCACCTCTAAGGCCACCCTACCACACAGTCACAGTTTCCACACCTGTAGATTTACTTAGCGTCAACCAAGATATTTGCCAACCTTACTCCATCGGTGTTAGTAAAATAAAGATGTTTAGGTGGCTTGGTGTTACTGCTGCCAATAATCCCGGACATTCCCCTATCACAAGTCTGCAGCCTGTGAATTGTAACAACATAGCATCGGTACTTGGTCAGATGAAAGGTTCTTATACCTTAATGTGTTGCCTCATAGTGGCCTAATGCCGAGTATAGAGAAAGGAAAGGGATGTGATGAGGCTGAGCCACATCCCAGAACCTCTGAGGTGGTTTTCTTATCCTTCAGTGAGAAAGGGAATTCAAGTCTTCCAAGCAGTAGACAGGAATAAAAACTAGGAAGGGGGCTAGGAAAGAACTGTCGTCTTTAGCCTGCAGATTTCTTGCATTTTTAAATTTTCATTTTCTTTTGAGCTGTTCAAGCAGTGAACATAATGTTTGTTCTCACAACAAGAAAAACATGTCAAMTGAATATTTCATATATTGTTGTCAYGTATGCATATAACATGCTGTTACACTGTACTTAAGGTGTGAGTAATACTGTAAAGAAAGCAAAAATGTTGTGTTGTGATAACTCCCTTGCTTTCCTTCATGATCATCAAGTCAGCAAAACAGTTTTGAGAAGGCAGGATGCACTGGGAGAGGTTGAAAGTCGCTTTTGGATGTTAGGACTTGTTTTTTCTCACGGGCCTGCTGTAGGGGTTTTAGAACTGAAGATAATAACGTTGCTGTTTCACCTAGTAAATTATAGACAGTAAAAGTAGATTTGTACAATAAATACAATTGTATTTAGAATGACATAATAACTTTTTTCCTTTTCTTTTTCTTTTATTTTTTTCTTTTTCTTCTTAATGTATGCTATTCCCCTGACCTGGTACCTGTGCAGATTGCTGCGTTCACTGCATCCTGGCTTGCTTGTTCTGTGAATTTCTCACCCTCTGCAACATAGTTCTGGGACAAGCATCCTGCGGCATCTGCACGTCGGAGGCCTGCTGCTGTTGCTGCGGGGACGAGATGGGGGATGACTGTAACTGCCCCTGTGACATGGACTGCGGCATAATGGACGCCTGTTGCGAGTCCTCCGATTGTTTGGAGATCTGCATGGAATGCTGCGGGATCTGCTTCCCGTCATGAAGTACTTATCCCTTTTTGGTTTATCCTCTTAAAAACTGGAGAGCTTTTCTTTAAATACGTTTGAAGAAAGACAAGGTAAGAGTCTCACACAACCAACTGGTATTGCACTGTTACTTCCTATATATGATTATTTTTTTTTAAAGAAAAAGCAATCCCTGAAACCTGTATTCTGACATAAATTATATAGTTTTGTATGTGAAACTCAAACTACATTCCAGCTTCCTTTTGGCTTTGTAAAAGGGAGAGTTTACTGGAACTGAATTATAAGCCTGATACTGCAGGTTGTACAAGGGCAAATTTGCCATTTGAGTTCAGTCACAGGTTTTGGTCAGAAAAAAGACTACAGGCAGGGTAAAACCTTAGCTATTTGCCTTTACCTACTTTAATGCTTAAATGTTTGGATGTCTTCATCTATAATATACCCTTAAAAGAGTTCTTAAAAGCAAAATGCCTTTATTTCAATCTCTGTAGGTTGAAAGTTCTTTAATTTTATACTTAATTTAAAAGTCTACAGCAGGAATCTTACAGTTTGTTTTGCTATATAGAGGTCACACGGGAAATATTTCTTTTGTTCCATATTTCCCATAGGTTTGAGAGTGATTCTTGGTATTTCCACAACTAATACTGACAAAAAGATGAGGATTTGGATAAAGTCAATCTGAGTTTTGCCACCTTTTACAATACCAAGATTTCATAGGTACAGACAGACAGAATAGAGAACTTATATTTTGCTTCAGAATTACTTGAAATGTTTGCTTTTAGCAAGAGACTTTGGAAATCTGGGTGGACATAAAATGTATCCTCACATTTGAACTAAAAAACAACCCTAAAAACAAAATAAGCTGTTGAAGGAAAATTATCAAAAATTAACTCAAAACTCTAAGGCTGTATAACAGCAGCCCTGTAATTTTTTTGTGGCTTTATAACCAGTATCACCAAGCTTATTTGGTAATACTGGTAATATTTGTTACTCGTTGGGTAAAAATGATCCTCAGAGATCTACTGAAGAAACTAAACGGGATATAACAACCAAGTGAAGTTGAATTTTGAATGAATTTTGTCATCAAATGCAAAAAGTGAATGTAAAGTATATTCTCAAACACTTATTTTRAATGCCATTTAAAAATAACTACTTGAGATTATTTTGAGATGTTTGATATCTTTTTAAACTAGAAGGATATGGTAACATTTTTAAAATATCTAGGATTCAGTGTGCTTTTTTACTTATGATGCCATAACAGATTTTCTCAGAAAATATCTTTTTTTTRTCATTGCAATTGGAAGGTGGATCTGATCTAACACAGATTTATGGCGTTTTTCTTTGCCATTTTCTTTGCCATTTGCAAGTTTCTCTACTCCATCTCTTCAGCTCAATAACTTTCCTGCATAAACCACCTGTACGTCTTGATCTTTGATACCTAATCTTTGGTATCTACACTTTAGATTTCCCATATAAGGATTGATGGATCTACTCAATGTAAGGCTTGTTACAAGAGTCATCGAGAGCTCACAGTGTATCCCTGTTTAGTGAATTGACCCGAAATGTCTCTTTCCACTGTAGTGAATTCAGTTTCTATAAATGTGACAAACTAAAGATCACAGGAATGTGAAGCTAAGTCAACGCAGTGTCTTCCTTAACCAAAAGCTCCTTCCGATGAACACTGACTAGTAGTGCTAACTACTGCAAGTTACCAGTGAAGGTAAAATAGCTGTATCCTCAACTGTGCTATGGATCTGGGAGGTGGTGCATTTGCGCTGGCATCTGCAATGTTGTGGTGTACTCTAATGCAGTGCAGATTTACTCAGAGGGCGTCCTAGCTGTTTTTTGGTAGTTACTACAAGACGTGATTCTTATCTTTATTATTTTTTTTTATTCCTACTTACTGGGCCAGATTCAGATCTCTCAGTTGCGTAAACTTAAGTGCATTTCCATTAATGTCAGAATTTTCCATTGGTGAAGCTTGAGATAGAGAGCACAAAGATATTATGGTAATAGGCACACTAATAAGGAATGATACAGTTAAACTGATAAATTCACTGAGCTCAGAATCAGGCCCATGGGGCTCAATTATGACTCCTAAAAGTCTGAGCCACACTGGGAAGGGGGAAGAGTGCCTTGGTTGAGTGGCAGTGCCTGGAGGCGTTTTGCCTTTGTAAGGCATAATGCCTCTGGGGATATTGGGGGCATCAGAGCGAGCACTGGGACTTGACGCACCTTGGAGGAAGTGTAAGCAGGGCCTTGCCCCGTGTAGACCTAGAGATGCCACCGAGGTGGCAAGAGGGACACCAGGGTAGTAGACCTGGGCGCTCTCCTTCTTGGTGTCCCTCTTGCCACGGAGATGACTTGTGGTTGGGTCTTCTTCCAACTGTGCTTTGGGAGGCCGAGGAACAGGAGGCCATGTCCTGTAGGACAGCCATGCCTGAGCAGTGCCAGTCTTGTGTTGGAAAGCCTCTCATTGGCATTTCAAGCTTTTAGTGAAGAGCAGGTGTTAGTGAAGATAACTTTTAGTGTGGGACAACATAGTATAAAAAAGGTGATGTCAATGTAGGCGGTCCTTTTTCTTTGTAAAAGGTTGTCGGTATAGTTCAGTGTAGACAAACTATAGTTCAGTGTAGACAAACTATTGTATCTACTAACAAGAACCCTTTTTTGACTGAAATTATGAAAACCAGGGAAATGTATTTACTATTTACATTTCTTACTAGTACTGTTAAACAGAATACAAGAAGAGCTCTGTTTCTGCATATATACCTATGTACCAGGCTCTGTCTCTCTTAAACACACACACAGACACACACACACACAAACAGGTATATTATTTCTTTTCTTTATTTCATTTGTGAGATACTAGGAAGTGAAAATACTGTGTTTATTAACCCTTATAGTGACTAGGAGTAACAAATTATTACAGACTTAATAAAAAATGTTAATATTGTGATTTGTTTGACATTTAAGCATAATCTGCTACTATTTGTCATAGAAATGTTAGCACTTTTGTAAAATGTATCTTTGTAGCAGAGACTATCAGTATATAGTTTAAGGACTTTCTATATTTATATTCATAAATTCTGTTTTGTAATGTTCACTTATAGCCAATCTTACAATAAGCACCTTGTGTAATTAAAGCAAGTAAAATTAGAGAGAAATGTGAAAAACTAGTTTAAATAGAAGTAAAAAGGAGAACTTATCTATTTTATGAAAGTTTTTGTGAACTTGTACAGTGTTTCAGTATAGTTCTGCAAACTGGCCCATTGAAAAATGGTAACTTGCTATTTGTATTTTATATTAACTAGAAGTGCTATTCTCAAACACTATTTTGAAATAAAGAACTTTATTTTGAAACTTTGGTGTTTCTTCTTCTGCTAGTTTTGTCTTGTTGATGTTTGAATAGCTTGTCTTGTCTCTTATTTGTGATTTTTCTGTTACATTTTTGAAGGCTTCAGTCTTTGCACAGAGGGTGAGATGATGAAGGTGAGTTGTCTTATAGTTGGGGCTATACCACCCCAGGCTCTGCAAGTGCTGCTAGCATGAAGCTCCACCGCATGAACCAAGAGTAATCACTCATTATTAAGATTCATGCTTTGGTATAGTTCTCTTGTTTAAGTGGAATTCCATTACTGATTAATTTTGAAATGGAAGATACTTTAATACACCTACTGTAAGAGGTCTTCAATTTCCCCCCACAAAAAAGAAGGCTGAACATGGAGTGTAGGTAGTTTGTAGTGCCACAATACTTAAAAAGTGTAAAATAAACCTCATACCAGAAGGCTTATACTCAAAACCATTATTTTAAGTTAAAGTAGGTTTTATAAGTCTGTTTCAACACAGTTGTAGTGCACCATATCATCTGTGATTTAAGCAGAGATTTTTTTGTCATATTTGTTTAGTCTGAATGTGAATGTGCTTGTATCTGAAAATGCAGGAACTGGATGTTTAGTGGATCTTGCACTGCTTTTCCAGCATCTGTGTGAAAATTTCCAAGTATTTTATCATGCCTATGCATATATATATTCCCTTGGAGGATCTAAAATAATTCTGATAAATGAGTCTTCTCTAGTTGTTACACAGGTAAGAGACAGATTTAAATAACCAAAATTTTGTGCTTGGGRCTGGGTACCATGAAGTCTTGGCTTTGGGAGTGTATGCTAAAAGTCCACTAGAAAATCATTTGCATCAGAGAACTACTAAAAACATGGACAAATAGCACCATTAGACATTTATTGTAGGTATTTTAGGTAGTATCCATGATAAGTCAGGAAACTAAAAGTGGCATTTGGGGAGCTTTTTTATTGAATAGAGTAACTACTCTATTAGAGTATTGGAGTATTAGAGTAAAATAGAGTAACTATTTTAACTGCAGTACTCATGCTAAGAAGTGGTTTTTAAATTTAGTGAACGGCTTTGTAAGGTCTTTTCTATGAACTGCTTTTCTGAACTGTTGGCTTATTAAAAATTTTCTTAATGATTGCAGCACTTGATGTATGTTTTGGAGAGCAATGCCAATTGTACTGATGTATTTCCACAGTGAAGCTCATTTTAGCAGCTCTATATACTTTTAAAATCTTACCCTAGCTTCCAAATGTTTCAGTATTGGGGAAAAAGCTCCCTGATGTCTCCTCTCTGTCTCTCTCTATACATGAATGCCACAGTAATTGTGCTTTTTTTTTTTTTCTTTTAACCGTCAGAAATTTCCAACAGTTCTTCAGTCCTTTTCGCTTCCAAGGAGAGCAAGGGAATTTTAGATCAATGTCAGCATTAGAAAATTGGGGAAAAAATAAAAACTTCAGGAAAAATAATATCCTGCACCCACCTCCAAGATGTGCCTTTTCACTGTGCTGAATCTACTTAAACATGAGGTTGATCGTGTAAAATTCAACCTCTTGATCTGGCATCTTCCTCATAAGCACTTGTTTATGGTACATAGCAGTGATTTGGTGCTACCAGTGATTTAGATGATGGTCTTTCTCTCCTTTRTAAATCTTGGATATGAGGGGCTCTTGCTACTATAATTCCTACTGTATTTGAAAGAGATTTTTTTTTCTAACTAATCACTTTGCAAGATAGGCAGTTGTTGAATTTGATTAGGTGATAGTAATCTGTAGGTGATAGTAATCTGTATACGGTTTTCAGGATATAGTTTTCAACTCATGTCACTTGAGAATTGCTTAGYTGTATGCTAAATACAATCCAGTTTGCCTTTATGTATATACATTATAGCAGCTGTTAGTGCATTACCTGTCAACACTCATAAATTACTGACTTCAGCTGAAAGGGTGTGTACTACCTGTTATACCTTTAATAGTATCTTCTATTTTTTTATTCTGATATGCATATGGTATTTTAACT